TGGCTAAACAATAGAAATTTATTTGCTCCTAGTTCTGGAAGTCGGAGGTAGAGGTGTGGGCAGGTTGAGTTCCTTCAGAGGCCTGTTTCAAACTTGCAGATGGCTGCCTTTGAACATGGTCCTCATTCTCAGTCAATCTCCTCTTTAAAATCCCTGCCTTCAAATGTAGTCATGGTCTGCCGTGTGGGGTCAGGCCTTCAAGCCATGAACTTGCTGGAAACACAGCCAATGCCAGCTCAGTTTGTCAGGGGTCATGGAGACCAGGTCTGTGTTTCCACCCCTGAGAGGGGAGGACAGTGGAGGCCACACCTCACTGACTCCTTGCACACCTGGAAGACGATGCATGCACTTGCAGTCTGGCACCCGAGAGGGGCAAAGAATATGTCTTACATTGTTTAGTTGTGTGGATGCCAAGCTGCCTGTCCCCATCACCTGTCACCTGCACCCCGGGGCTGTGCTTTTCCTCTTGAGTCATCCATGGGCTTGAAACCCACGCAGGGCAACATGTAGAAGCAAACATGAAGGCGCATCCAGGCCCAGGCTCTCCTGGGGGAAAGGCCAGAAGCTGCGCTCACCATTTCCCGTCCCTCCTGGCTCGGGTGGACTCTGCTCAGCCTTCTTCACTGTCCTTTTTCTCCACGTTTTAGGTAAGATCATCCATGCCAACACAGCTTTATCGCCCACAGAAAAGGCATTGTCACAGATCTGCCCCCAAATCAGTGACACTTGTAATAACCACCCCGTTTCTGGAAGCAGTTGTTGGTGAGGGACCCACAGTTCAGGTGCCGCACCCCTCTTGAGAGTGCTGCACCCCTCTTGAGCTGGAGAAGCAACACTGTTTGCAGGAGGTGCCAAAGGGAGTGACATGTGGGCAGAACAACCCTAGGGCTCCCAGGAGCTTTGCGCCCAGTGGAGCACGCTGGGTCTGCCAACGCCCACTCAGGACGTGTCCTGGGTCTTGAGGCCACCTGGTCTCCATCACAACTACTCACCTCTGCCACAGTAGCCGGAAGGCAGCCACAAATGACACAAATTCTCGGGTGTGGTGCAGGCCAATAAAACTTCTTATGGGCCATGAAATTTAATTGTCATAAAACTTTAACATGCCAGGAAATATTACTGCTCCTTTGACATTTTCCCAACCATTTGAAAGCACAGAAGCCATTCTTGGCTCAGGCCACACAAACACAGGCAGTGGGGACAGGTCAGGCCCAGGAACTGAGCTGTGGTTAGCTCAGCCCTGCTCTACTCTAATAGCTCCAGAAATCTGTGTTGGTGGGAAAACGCATTTCTAACTGACAGTTCAAACACCATGCATCCATCCTGCACACCACACCCCCTTTTACCTTTTCTTACATCTTTTTTGAAAACCACTCCTGTTTTGGTAGCCCCCTATCTGGTTACATCAGGGACCACTCCAAACAAACCCAAACAAGCTCCTTTACTGGACACATTTTTAAGAGTTTTGAAATATCTCTTCACAAATAGGGACCAGAGAGCCTCCTGCAGAAAGGAGCCATGGCTACAAATACAGAAATGGACTGGGTGTCCTGTGGATCCCCCTTCAGCAGAAGGTAGCCACCGCTTAGAGAGCGTAGGAATGAAACACCATCTTACCCAGCATCCCTCATAGGGATGTGGCTGTTTATCAGGGTGGGGGTGAGTCAAGAAGCACACTTGTGGCAAACCAATACCACATATGGTTCTTAAGAATGAATGATGTACTCGGTAGTCCGAATCGGACATCACTTTCCTATGTGCACACGTGACACACGACCAGTGAAACTCCACATCATGTATAGCCACAAGATGGGAAGCGATACTCCCTATGTGTATGATATATCAAAATACACTCTACTGTCATGTATATCTGAAAAGAACAAATAGAAAATAGAATGATACAGAATGAACGATGCAGCTCAAAGTCTTACGTGGCTACTAAAGAAGAGTTTAATAAAATGACATCTGACTCCCCAAATATCACCTAGACGACGTGTCCTTGATCCTCGGGAGAGATTACAGTGTGAGTCAGGTGGGAATACTGTCTTCTCCTCTGGCTTTCAAGCCCCTCTTCCCTCCAGAAACTTCTGTTTCTTGCATTCTCATCTGGTTCCCATGGAGAGGTCTTTGTGTCTTTTTTGGATTAAGGGTGGTGGGTATCAACACATGCCACTCCAAAACACGGCACCATGGCACCAGAGAGAGCAGGAAGGCTGCCCTCACCTCCTCCTCCTCACTCTTCCCCCCTGAAGCAGGCAATGCAAGGTTTGTCGGACCTTTTGCCAAGGATGACACTCATGTAGGGCCACCCACCCCAAGTCCAAAAGAAAAGAACTTCCTTATCCATCACCCAAGACTCCGGTGCCATGTAAAACTGAAACAGATGTCTCTTGTCGGCCTGTCCTTCATTATTGGTGCCTCAGCCATGAACCTGGCAATGGAGGAGAAAGTCTTCTCCCCTCAACAGGGGGAAGTAAAGAGGTATTAAACTGATTATTAGAAATACTCTGAGTCCTTGGCAAAGAATGAAGAAAAACACTGCTGTATCCGGCCAAGCTAAGGCTTCTTCCAAATAGACCATGCAGACTTCACCCAGTTCCTTCCAGAAATGGAGCCTCAGAATTTGGGGGATGAGGCGACTGGGACCCAAAGGCACTGACGGACCTGTATTATAGCAATGGCTGACTGAGGACAGCATCTTTGAGATGCCGGTCACTACTACTCCACACAAGACAAGGTTGGGCTGTGCCTATGCAGCAGCTGGCAGCTGACAGGGCTGTAAGGAAGAGAGGGACAAGGACAAGCATGTGCCCTGAGAGAGGAGCAGTTCCGGCTCCCCTGAGCTGCCTGGCTCTCTGCCAGGGAAGATTCTCCTAGTAATGAAGTATACCAGCTTTAATCTAAAAGTGACCTGACCCTCTGCCACAAATCCAGTCGACTGTGTCCAACAAGGGGCTCAGTGCAAAACCAACAGAGGAGGACCTTGGACTCAGAATGGCTGTACTCACGACAGAGTTCATTGACCTGCTAATTTTCCAAACCAAGAGGCACCTTTTTCACTGGGTTTGTCCCTAAGTGCCCCTTGCACTGTTTTCGTAAATGAACCCTTGTTTTGCATGAATCCAGACTTTCTTAGGAACCCCAATGCCATCTGAATACCAATGATAAGACATCTGTCCCTGGCACCTTTTCTACAGGAACTGCAATTTTTTTTTTTTTACTAATTAAAAAGTGTGAGAATGTCTCACATCTTAAATAGACAAGAATTTCCCAGAGGAAGCAAGATATACACTAACTTTGGACATTTTGTTAAGGATGTATGATATTGAGCTTATACATGAGCTTCACCACTCAGGGGCAACCCTCCCCACCCTAAGGAAAAGCAAGTGGGTTCTTTTCCACCTGGCATCCTCATTCCTGTCATGTCTGCAAGGTACACAGTAAGAGCTGTCACCCTTCTCAGCATGCGTACCCAGCATCATGACCCCATTGTGAACTTCTGTAGCCTTGTGGAAATACTGACTTCTGTAGAGAATGAGGGATCTTGCTCTAGCGCAAGTGTAATCTCAACAGAAAGGCAAGGTGAATTCTGCCTGGGCAGAGGGACAGAGCTGGTAAGTACAGTGGAGGCAGCATTTGGTGAAATAAAAATTAAAGAGTCTCTAGGGCAGAGGCCATCTTCAGAAAGGGAGACACAGGTTTGTCTTATTTAAGGCTATGTTTTTAATATTCCATAACACAAGCTAGACTTCTACTTCTATTTCAGGATAAATTTAAGTCAGCTTAGTAATTCACACCAGACTTCTGAATAATTGTTTTACATGCTCTTCACGGACATTGTTATGTATCACTCATTAATAAGTAATTGCCAAAACCACCAACTGGGTATAGCCCCCGGGGTGGGGGTGGGGTTTATGAACAAACAGGCTGGGAGGTCCAGAGAGGTAGGAGGTCACACCCAAGGGGATCCACCTGTAAAGGTTGGAGGTGGAGATTACAAAGTGGGAGGAATCACAACGCCCCACCCCCACCCCCATTCCAAGCTACTCTGGGAACTAGAAAGTGTGTGGTGACCTTGTGCTCACAAAAACGGGTTGGTTCACAGGCTGATCTCAATGAGGAGAAGGGGCTGTGCTGGTGCCCTGTGAGGTTCTGGACAGAGGGCAGACACCTATCTCTACCTCAGCGCTGCTGTGCGCCCCACTGGCCAAGGCTGGGGAAACAGCCTTCCTGGATCTAATCCAGCCCAGCGATGGCACTGGGGCCTGTGCCCCCTCCCACCTCACCCCGTGCACCCGAGGACCTGCTCCATTCCTGAGCCCTGCAGGAGGTGGTGCTTTGAAGTTGACCGGGAACCTCTCATACCTAAAGTTGAAATAACTGCTGAATCAGGGTGCCCCATTTTGTCGGCTCCTGGGCAATCGGACACTTGCTTTCCACTCCCCCACCCTCCTCCTACTCTGAAGGAAACCAGATCGGCCTGTTAGAGGTCACCTGCAAAAGCAGAGTGATGTCATTCGGCTACGCCGAAACTGCCTCCCGGTACTAAGAGCCTAAATATCTATGCATGGTTATCAAAAGAGAAGGCACAGTCCTGAAGGTGCCTGCAGAATTATCATTACTAGATTCTGCGGCCTCCGCCTTCTGGGAGCAGGTCAGGAGGAAGGTGACCGCACCAGGCGCACCCCCTAGCCGCTGGGCGGCCAGAATGCTACCGGGTCACCTGGAGATCTAGCTTAGGGTATTCCGAGAGACAGCGTGGGAGATGTAGCCCCTGCAGCTACTCAGGCCCTAGGTGAGGGACCACTCCCCAGGAGTTACTTAGGAACCACTCCCCTGGAGTTACTGACGGTCGCACCAAGTCACGCTCTGGGGCCACCTCGCTGCGGCGCGCGCCCTGGCGGGCCGCAGAAGGGGCCAGCGAGGGTCAGACGCTGGGGGCGGGGGATGGAGAGGCGCGGGCGCCGCGTGGGTGGCGCGAGGTGGCCGCGGCCTGCTACCTGTGGTGGACAGCACCGTGCTGGCGAAGAAGAGCGCAGAGGTGAAGTCCCAATTCCAGTTGCCCGAGGCGTTGCTGAGCACCGACACGCCGTAGTTGCTGGCCTCCAGCACGCGGCCCAGGAACTGCTCGAGCTGCGGCTCTGACAGGCACTCGTGCTCCTCCAGGAAGCGGCGCTTCAGCTTGCGCAGCTCCTGGCGCAGCAGGTCCTCGTAGGGCAGCTCCACCGAGGAGAAGACCACGGCGCCGAACACCAGGTAGAGCAGGTAGCCGAGCACCAGGAAGCCGAAGCACCAGGCCGAGCGGTGCCGCTCCACCAGGCGCACACAGGAGCTGCCAGCCAGGGACTGCAGCATCTTCCCGCCGCCAGGACAGCGCCGCAGACCGGCCGGAGCGGCCGCCGCCCCTCGGTTCGGGCTCCGCTCCGGCCCGCGCGCTCCTCCCGCCGCCGCCCGCCCACGATTGGCTCGCTCCGGCGACGCTTTTCTTCCCTCTTTCCTGTTTCCTTGCAATATAAAAGGCCCAGATGATGTGGCAGTGACGTGGGCGCCGGCTCAGGTAACCGGGAGTCGGCGGAGACCGCGCGCAAACTTGGCGGAGCGCGGGGCTAGGCGCGGCCCCGGGACACCCCGCCCTCGGCGCGCTCCCAGCCCGCGGCGGTCCCCGACCCCCGTCCGGCCTCCTGCGCCTCTCGGCGGCGCCCCAGCCCAGCGCCCGCCGTCGGCCCCCGCCGGGTGGGTGAGCGCGCGGCAGAGCCACTTCAGGGCAAAGCGCTGCCCTCCCCGCGACTCCTGCCCCCGCGTATTTCCGCCTAGTCAAAGCCACCATCAAAAAATAGCGAGCGCCTGATTCTGTCCTTCTCTTCTTATTGGCCAGACAGTTGGTCCATCTGGAGCCGGCGGTGGTGGCGAAGTACCAGAACCGCCGGCGGAAAAGCACCTTCAAGTCCCCTCGGACCCACACACCCGTCAGGAAGGCTCCCGGGAAGGAAGCGCTTACAGGGCCCTGTTTCTGAGCTCTTGATCTTCAGAACAGGACCTCAGGCTTTATGCTAAACTGAGGTCCAGGTGCCAACTACCAGAAGCAGCAGCTTCTCAAGTCCTTCTTCTCAGGGATGGAAATGTTGAGGGGGGTCCGTGGGCTGCCTTATGGCAAGGGTAAAAAACCATGGCCCTTTCTGGAAAGGTAACTTAGCCGCAGGCCTCAAGAGTTTTGAAGAAGTGTGTGTGTGCTAAGGAAAGTACAGAGAGGCTGGCCTGAAACATCTCTATCACATGCATACAGCATCTGGATGTCTACCATACACGGATAAAATAGCAGCCAATCGGGAGCATTCTGGATGTTCCAAAGCAGAAAAATTATGGTATCTCAAGAGGGGGGCTGCTTCCACAGATGTGTTCAGAATGCTGAAGCATATACAAAATCCTACAGAATCTCAAATATATAAAATATTTGCATTCTGCATTGTAAAACCGAATTATTTCTGCATAATAGATTGCATGAAAATAAAACCATCTTCTACCCCTTGCCCATAGGTGTTAGTGGAGGATATAGGTGACTTTGATTTCTTGTGTTTTAAAATATTTTTTAAAGTTTTCTATAGTAGCTGTGTTTTTGTAATCAGGAAAAGCATTAAAATAAGTAAAAGTGAATTGTACAATTATTTAGAATAAGAAAATCACATTTTGTAAGTGTCTAACATACTCACCAGTGGTTCTTAACTCTCAGTAAATAATCCCTCCCTGCTTAACCAAAGGATTGAGGTCATCCTTTGCTTTACTTCTCTGTACTTCAGAAGCTCATCAGTAACCCATTTCTTTCCCTTGCTCCCACCCTTGAGGAAGAACAGGCCTCCTTATTCTCAAGGTGAAGCCATCACCCCAGCCCTCCAAGTCCTCCAGGCTCCCGAGTAGTCACCATCACCAGTTCTCAGCTCTTCAGGAGCCTGAGTCCCTCCTCTCCTGACTCCTACAAATCCTCTCAGGTCCCCACCCTATTCTGTCCTCTGTGGGTTCTTTAAGCCATGCTCCTCCTACCCTATCCCTGATCTTTGCTGATGTGACCTTTCTGGGTCCACTTTGTTCCTGAGGCCCCCTCTTCCTGCAGCACACCGTCAGAGTCCTCCTGCCCTTGCCCGCCTCTTCTCCTGTGTCTCTGCTCACAAGTGTCCTCCTGCTGGGACACACCTTCTCCTTCTTTGCCATAGTAGGGGTCCTGTCCTTCAGGGCCTGGCTTGCAAGTCGTATCTCATCCATGAAATCTGGCACCCAGCAAGATGTGAATTCTGCTCCTCCCAAACCACACAACCCCTCGTGTGCCACAGTCTCTGGCACTAATGTCACCATGTGTGCAGGCATGGTAATGTCATTGTCCTCTCAAATGCACATTCACAGAGATGGGAGTACAGTTGCAGATGTTCTGGCCCTCCTCTCATCATCTGTGTCCTCTCTGCTTAGTCTGGGTGACTCGTGACTGCGTCAACCATAGAATGCATCAGATGGGATACATGGTGGTTTCCAAGACTGGGTCATGAAAGCACAGGAGCTATTTACATTGTTCACTGGAATGCCTTGCCCTGGTGTCCTGAGCCACCTTGGGAGGACCTCGTGGAGGTGTTCCAGATGACCGTTCCATTGTGCCCAGCCTTCTGCCCATCCTCAGTGACACTTCAGACATAGGAGCATGGCTTTCTTCAGTCCTGCTGGCTTGGCCACCTGGTGACTTGCATCTCCTGGCGGAGCTCTGCCTGCTTGAACCAGGAGCTATGTTGACTGTTGTTTTTAGCCAGTGGGTTTGGGGCTGGCTGCCTGTGCCAAGAGAGCCAACCAGATGACATGCCTTTGGCCTGCACTGAACTTTGAAAGCCATCACTGGACACTTGCCCTCCCTCCCCTCCTTCTCTGGCTGAGACACTGTCCCAGTTCTACATTACAACCAGGCCAAGGATACCAGATACTTTTTTCTGTGGTCACCATGACGAAATACCTGAGATCAACCAAAGGAGGAAAGGTTCAGGTTGGCCCTGGGTGTCGGAACCTTCAGTCCATGGCCAGCAGGAATCAGGGGGAGTCCTTGAGGGAACAAAGCTGATCGCCTCATGGTGGCCAGAGAGAGCAAGAGGAAGGGGCTGAGTTCCCTTGTACCCTTCCAGGGCATAGCCCCACGTCCAAAACCACCTGAGCCCTCAGGGGCCAGTCTGTGGCACCAGAGTCCCTGTGTGTACAGGTGTGGTCCCATCATTGTCCTCTGAAATGCACATCACAGAGATGGCCTTTCTGACATTTCTGCAGGGGACCAAGCCTTCAGCACATGAGCTTTAGGGGGACACTTAAGATACAAGCCGTCACACTCTTGCAAGGTATGCTACCCTTGGACTACAGGTAGACACCTGAAACCTCTGGGAGTGGTCCTGTGGGGGCTCAGATCCTGTCCCCAGGGAGGTCAGTCCACAGAGCTTTCTGTAGCTCTGGCTGTGAGAGATGCCGTGAACCCCGGGGGCACAGTGTGGCGTCTCCCTTCCTTTTCCTGGCCAGATGCACTGTTGTCAGGGGAGTTAGCAGACTCAAGGGAGTCAGGTGTCCTGCACTGGAACCTTGGCCCCAAGGTTCATACAGGCCTCGCTGCTGACTGGCTCCTCCCCCCACCCTCTTTCCAGCAGGGATTCAGGGGCAACAGCGCATCCTCCTTACAAGAGGATGGGGATATGCAAGGAAACCCAGAAGAGCCCCAGGATTCCTGAGAGGGCAGCACTGGCAGGATGGGGCATGAAGAATGTGAGGGATGCCGTGCTCTGCCCACTGCCTCATGTCCCTCCCAGGATGTAACCTGTGGACAGTGGTCATGCGTCATGAGAAACAAACCTAGGCCAGAATCAGTGCTGCAAAGATTCACTGCTGTGCTGCAAGATGACATGAGGTGTAAAGGGGCCCAGCTGCCTCAACAGCTTGTCCAGGAGAAGAAGGTAGAGATGCTGGCTCTACACAAACCCATTTCTCTTGGGGTCCAAAAATGAAATTCACAAACGAGGTTGGGAACAGTCAATCAGCAACCCCTACAGAACCTCAGTGTTGTAGTTCCACTTCCAGATACTGACCCAAAAGAATTGGAAGCAGGGGCTTGAACAGGTATTCACACACCCCTGTTGACAGCCACATCCTTCACAATGGTTAAAAGGTGGAAGTGACCCTAGTGTCCATCCACAGGTGAGTGGATAAACCATATACAGCCATGCATACGATTGAGGACTAGGCCATCTCAAGAAGGAAGGAGATTCTGACATGTGCTACAAGACAGAGGAAGCTTTAGGACAATAGGTGGCATCAGCACAGCACAGGGCAAGAACCGTGCCAGTGCATTTGTGTGGGGTATGGGGAGGAGTCAAGGTCACAGGGACAGAGATTAGAGCGGTGGCCACTGCAGCAGGGGAGGCCTCGGGAGTGACATCAGTGGGTTCTGAGTGTCCGTCTTACAAGATGAACAGAGACCTAGAGATGGTGCTGGTGATGGTGGCATAGCATGGCAGAAGAACCATGTCACAGAACTGGTGAGTGCTTCCAGTAGTGCCAAGCTCTCTCACAAGCATTGAAGCCCAGGGCAGCCATCACAGACTGGGAAGACAGGACACGGCATGCCGGCCTTGTCATTCAGATGGGAGGTTTTATGTTCCAGCATCTATATGAGGTTGGGGTCCCTGAGGAAGGTGGACTCCTAAGCAGGGATGCGCAGGATGCCCAGGTCCCCAACTCCCAGGTGGTGCCATGCCCAGGTGTTGGAGCCCACATCTTGCAGACCCTCAGCCTGTCACGGTTGACTGGGGTATTGCCACCCTCCTTTCTTCTGGTCCTCTGGGGAGTGTGGCTCAGGTCTGGGCCTCTGGACAGGGTCTTCTGGGGATTAGCCAATGGCAGATGCCTCCCCTGAGGTCCTCCAGCCCATACAGGTCCTGGCAGGTCACGGCTGGCCTGGGTGATGCATATAATGCCTCTGCCACATCTCTGGCTCTTAGCCACATCTCCTGACCAATTGCACCTTGCCTGTGAGTGAGGAAACATAAATGAATCTTCTCACCTCTCAGTGGAAACACCCTCCACCCCTGCAAAGGATAAGAAAGGAAAGAAAAGCAGGAAGGGCTTTCCTGAAAGCAAGTGAAGAAGGGGGAGGAGCCGAGAGCCTGCTGTCCCCTGCCACCCTCCGGGGTTCAGAGGGCTCAGCTTGCTCCAGGGCCGACCTGTGAAGGTGGCAGCCACCTCATTATCCACTCAGCCAACCCGCCAAACAGGCCGGTGTCCAGCAGCTTGGAAAGGCTCCCTCAGGCTTGCTGCTCCCAGGACTTTAGCCCATGGTCCTGGTGCTGGAAGAGAGAAAACAAGAGGGGGCCGCATCTTCTTGCCCCAGGAGTACTTGGCCTGGATGCCCTCGCCAGTGCTCTGGAGTCCTCCCCACACCTGGCAGCAAGCTCCTTGA